ACTCACAGCGACCCTGCACAGGGTTTCCGAGGCTGTAAATCTTTACAGGAGCAGAAAGCCTCATTTTTTTCCTGCAGAACAGCTGGTAGTTTCGAACTGCCGACCCTGAGGTTAGCAGCCCGATTCGTAACCACTACGCTACCAGAGCTCCTTATTTACTTACCTTTCTTTGATTCCCCGTATCGAGTATGATGGCCTGGTCATCCTATATCCCTGTGCTATTGAGTGGATTCCAGCTCATGTAACCGTGTAGAGCAGAGTAGAGCTGCCTTAGAGGGTTTCCGAGGCTGTAAGTCTTTACAGAAGTAGCCTGCCACCGCTTCTGTCCTGTGAAGCGGCTGATGAGTTTGAACTATCAACCTGTCAGTCAACAGCCAAGCACTTAATCGCACCACCAGAGTGCCTTTGCTGGAGAATGGGAGGCTGATAGTTTTATTTTTAATGACTGAATGAATGAGTAAAATGAGACAGCTGGCTCAAATCCTGGTTCTATGCTTTGAAGGCTTTGTGGCTCCAGCAGGTTTGCTCACTTTCCTTCATCTGTATAATGGGCTCGCAATGGTAGTCTTATAGAACTGTTGGCAAGAATCAGAGACCTCATGTATGAAGCAGCTTCAAAAAGTTGGTGGGGGCAAAACATAGAATTAAAAGTTAATGGAGTTTTCCCAAAAGTTTTTGAAATTCTCTCATATATGGTGGTGATGTGCCGCGGAATCAGTTCCGACTCATAGCAACCCAGCACTGGGTTTCTGAGGCTGTCAATCTTTACGGGAGCAGAAAGCTTCATCTTTCTCCTGCGGAACAGCTGGTAGTTTTGAAGTGCTGACCTTAAGGTTTGCAGCCCAATTCATAACCAGTATGCTATCCGAGCTCCCTATATATAGCTGGTCAGAAAGATAAAGAGACTTCTTTGAGAAAGACCATTTGACTGTAATTGTGTGGGTAGTTTTCTAAGCTGTTCTGTTCACTGATTTACGTCTCTGTCGTATTCTTCCACGAGTATTACAGTGTTTAGATTTCTGTAGTTTTATAGTTAGTCTTAGTTGGATGGTTTCTCCTTCAACTTTGTTTATTGTCTTCTCTTATTGTGTTGCCTGTTTTAGATCTTGAGTAATTCCATATGAACTAATGAATCATTGCACTGATAGCTACAAAATAGCTTGCTATAATGTTATTGATGATTGCGTTTCATTTGCCCATCAAGCTGAGAAGAATTGACATCTAAACAATATTGAGCTTTCCAATCTAGAAACATGGAGTATGGTTCTCTCTTAATTTATAGCTGGGGTCACTGAGTCAGGATCGACTCGATGGCAGTGAGTTTTATTTATTTTTTTATGCATCTCTCCATTTAGATATTCTCTGGTTTCTTTCACCAGAGATTTTTAGTTTTTTTCATATTTTAGTACATTTATACTTAAGTATTTCATTATGGAGACACCAGACACTTAACAACAACAACAACAGGTAAAACTTTTATATTTGTTGTGGTTGTTAAGTTCTCTTGAGTCAGTTCTGACTCATAGAGACCCTGTATAGAGTTTCCAAGGAGCAGCTGGTATATTTGAATAGCTGACCTTGTGGTTCACAGTCCAGTGCTGATCCTACAGCACCATACTTAGGCATAAATAGTAACAAAATATGCAGAAAACTAAAGATCTCTGTGCTGTAGAATCAGTGCTAGGCTTCTAACTGCAAAGTTGGTGATTCAAACCCACTAGCCGCTCCTCACAAACACAAGGCCAGGGTTACTTTGAGTCAGAATCAACTCACCAAAACTTAGCAACAACAACATTGTAAATTATCCTTTTTAAAATTTCGAATTCCAGGTGTTCATTGCTATCATGTGTAGGAAAGCAGTTGATTTTCTATGTGACCCTTGTATACCATGACCTTGCTATATTTGAAGAGTTGTTTTATTTTTAATATAATTTGATTTGATTCTTTTTGCTTTTTTATTGTATACACAAGCATAGCATCTGTGCACAAATAACCCTTTTGTTTCCTCCTTCCCAGTCTTTGTAGCTTTTATTCCCTTTCCTTGTCTTGTTGCACTAATTAGGACTTCTGATATAGATCATCCTTACTTTGTTCTAGATCTTAACAGGAGAGCGTCCTCTTAAGTATGATGTTGACCATAGGCTTTTTGTGGATGTTCTGTATGACACTGAGGATGCTCCCCTCTGTTCTTATGTAGCTGAGCACTTTTAATTGTGAATTGGTTTTGGATTTGTACAATGTATTTTCTGCATCAATTGATAAGATATTTCTTATTTAGTATGTTTGTTGTCGGTTACATTGATTGATTTTGGGCATTGAAACAACTTTGTGCTGTTGATTTTGGTTTGCTACTTTTTTGTTGATTTCTACATATATGTTTATAAGAGATATGCTTATAAGAAGCATTTCTTTCCTTAATATCTTTGTCTGATTTTGCTATTAAGGTAATGCTGACCACACAGAATACGTTAGTAAGTGTTTGCCCTGCTTTGAATTTCTGTAGTAGGTTATGTATAACTGGTCTCATTTCTTCCTTAAATGGTTAATATAATTCACCAGTAAAACCCTCTGGGCCTGGTGCTTTCTTGTTTTTAGAAGAGCATGAGTTACTGATTCGATTTCTTTTACAGATACAGGTCTATTCAGATTATGTGTTTTTATCCTTCGGTATGTTTTGAAAGTTTATGTCTTTTTAAGAAATTGTCCCATTTCATGTATGTTATTTAATCTGTAGTCGTGGAATTGTTCCTAGTAGTCCTTTATAATATCTTTGGACTCAGGAGTGCAGACTTATCTTCCCTTTGTCATACAGATTGTTTGTATCTTCTGTTTTCTTTTGACTGGGAAGTACTTTTAGAATGCACACTTGAGTCTCTCCCCAAACCCACTGAGGACAGACTTAGGTGGACATAGGTGTGGATATACGGACTTTGAAAACTCGTTGGGAGACTGGGTTTGGGAAGCCATCATAAATCTAAAATTTTAATGTACTTTTTGATGGTTGTTGGTTATATACCTTGTAGTTGGTTTAGACTCATGGCGAACCCTGTACAGGGTTTCTGAGGCTTACTGTAAATCTTTATGGCAGCAGAAAGCCTCATCTTTCTCCCATAGAGCTGCTGGTGGTGTTGAACTGTTGATCTTAAGGTTAGCAGCCCAATTCATAACCACTATGCTACCAGAACTCCTTTTTAGTACTTGTTAGTCAGTTTCAAATCTGTCCTGCTACATTTGCTGAAACCTAGTATGTGGGAAACAAAAAAATTAAATATGTAAAACTATTGAACTTGCTTTGGGAGAGAGCAGTGACAAGAGAAACCTGGTGGCACAGTGTGTTAAGCATTGGACAGCTAGCCAGAAGGTTGGCGGTTTGAACCCCCCAGTCGCCCCTCAGGAGAGCAATGAGACTGTCTGTTTCCATAATGATTTATAGCCTTGGGACATTACAGAAAAAGTTTATATTATATAGTAACCCTATTTAATAGACTATATTGAAGTTTTGGTGAGGCACTGTGGGCTAATGTGCTGGACTGTAAGGTCAGTTTGAACCAGGTTGGTGGTTCAAGCTCTTCAGTTGCTCCTCGGAAATCCTATACAGGGTCACTGTGTTGGAACCCACTCAACGGCACTTAACAACAACAATGTACTGTTTTGTTGTTGTTGTCAGGTGCCATCGAGTGGGAACCGACTCATAGCGACCCCATGCACAGCAGAACGAAACAATGTCCGATCCAGGGCCAACCTCACTACCGCTGCCACATTTGAGTCCATCAATGATGCCACCTGGCCAATCCATCTCGTTAGGGGTCTTCCTCTTTTTCTCTGACCCTCCACCTTACCCAGCATGACATCCTCCTCCAGTGACTGTTTCCTCCGGACAATATGTCCAAAGTATGAGAGACAAAGCTTAGCCATCCTGGCCTCCAAGGAGCATTCTGGCTGCACTTTTTCCAAAACAGATCTATTGGTTCTTTTGGCAGTCCATGGCACTTTCAGTATTCTCCTCCAACACCACAACTCAAAGGCATCAATTCTTCTACGATCTTCCTTATTCACTGTCCAGCTTTCACATCCATACGAGGCTATTGAAAACACCATGGCCTGTTTTACATAGGGTTAATATAATGTGCACCAGAATCAACTTGATTGCACAAGGTGCTAGTTAGTGGCAATGGTTCTTTGTTAAGTGGTGTTACATTAAATGCTTTGAGGGAGGGTGTGTGTAATAGGTAAAGGAACCTTCTAACTTAGTGTGTTATGTGTTGGGCTGCCAACCGCAAGGTCAGCGGTTCAAATGCAGTGGCCTCTCTGCAGAAGAAGATGAGGCTTTCTGCTCCTATAAAGATTCACAGCCTCGGAAATCCTATACAGGGTCACTGTGAATCAGAACCGACTTAATGAATTGTAGCAGCAGCAGCAGCAGCACATAGTGGGTAGCAGGACAGAGTCCATAGTGGGTTTGAGCCCAGTGTTACAGCCACTGTGTGAGACCATTTTCCTCTTTTTCTCTGAACCTCTACTTGACCAAGCACGCTGTCCTTTTCCAGTGACCGGTCCCTCCTGATGACCTGTCCAAAGTCCCTGAGATGAAGTCTTGCCTCCTCACTTCTAATAATACGAAATACAGCTTGAACATAGGTCAACAGCTAATGTTGCTTCCAGTAAAGCGTTCCTGTCGCTGTAGATGTGCACCAATGAGAGAGCAGCCATCTGAAGCCATCAGTGGGTTCTCTGCTGCTCGAGGGATCCACGCAGAAGTTGGGGCCCACAGGCAGAGTTAGGGGAGAGGAGTATCTGAGGTGGTTTGGGGTCCTCCAGAAACCCTCTTAGTCTCTTCCAGATTGAGAGATGTCGCAGTGCTACCTCGGCCCTTCACCATCCACTACATAGGGAATCCCAGCCGCATTCCGCCCTTTGGTTGAAAATCTGAACGTCCTGTGATCACACTATTATAGGTTTCTGTGAATCACTTTCTGACTTTGTGTCTCTGCTTCTGGAAGGCTCTACACTGACCAACGGGCTGCACAGCCCCGTGAAGAGGAAGCTGGAATCGGAGAAGGATTACGTCTTTGACAAGAGGCTCAGGTACAGCGTCCGCCAGAACGAAAGCAACTGCCGGTTTCGAGACATTGTGGTGCGGAAGGAAGAGGGGTTCACACACATCCTGCTGTCCAGCCAGACCTCGGATAATAATGCTCTGACACCAGAGGTGAGGAGCGTGAGGGGGGCGGGGTGGGGCCCACCTGTACTGGGAGCAGGGCGTCTGCTCTCTTTCGTAGTGTCCGGATCTGGATGAAAATAACCTACACGTATGAAAACCTAACGATGGGGCCAGCAGCTTGCTTATCACTTTTTGTGCACGTTCCTATTCAACCTGGATGACCATCTAGCAGCAGCATCCCACTGTACAGATAAAGACATTGCATGCAGGTAGCCAGTAGAGTGATCAGTGGAAACATAGAAGGTTGGCCACGGAAGTTTGTCTTAAACATGACCAACCTAGGGGTGACCATGCACCAACCTGGGATAGGAGGGTGGCATGGCGTCATCTAGTGGACCCAGGACACTTAGGGAGGCCAGGAAGTAGAACCAGAAAAAGAGAGAGAGTAACAACAACAAAAATCAACCACCCACTAGTTTCTGTCAAGTCTGTTCTGACTCATGTTACCCCTACGTGTGTCTGAGTAGAACTGTGCTCTGTGGAGTTTTCTTTCTTTGTTTAAAAAAATGTAAACACATTTTGTTGCATAAATGAGTTGGAATTCCCACAATGAGCAGCACTCCTTGGGTTCCCAGGGGTCCTTCTTTCATTCCTCCTTCTTTCCTGCCCCTTCCTGCCTCTGGGGCTTTATTGGAGGGGCAGATGCTGCCCTTTTTGTCCCCAGTGATTCATTGTTCTGAGGAGCATGGTGCTCAAGAGTAGAACCTTCACTTTGTAGGTCAGTCTGTTGCTTGGCTGTCAGGTGGCCTCCAGAGCTGGGGTCACTTCCAGGTTTGAAAGGTGTCTAAGGGCCACTCTCCCAAGGCCTCCACCAGTCTCTATCAGAACAGTAAGTGGTCTTGTTTTGTTTTTTTATTGTGATTGGGCTGAACATTTACAGCACAAATCAGTGTTCCATTCCACAATTCTTATACATTTTGTTTCATATCATTGATGCATTTCCCAACATGTGTTGTCACTCATCCCATTTCCTTCCTTCCTTCCTTCCTTCCTTCCTTCCTTCCTTCCTTCCTTCCTTCCTTCCTTCCTCCCTTCCTCCCTTCCTCCCTTCCTCCC